TGTGGACGCAGACACACAAACCCAGCCACACACGCACGCATGCTCACATGTGGATGCAGACACAAACCCAGCCACACACACATGCATGCTCACATATAAATGCACACAGATGGGGACACAGACATACAACATACACACATACACAGTGCCTGCAGACACAGATGCACTGACATGCAGACCCACATGAATCCAGCCTCACACATACACACACACACCCCCGCAGATGCAGACCAAAAGACTGACCAGACACAGAGCATCCACCACACACAGGGGACCCCACCCCACACAGCAGGGATCCAGGACAAATGGGAGGGTTGGCTGGGCACAGTGGTCTGTTCAGCCAGTCCACCCACCAGCGACTTGTCTCCTTGGCAGCCTGGCCGCCGCCTGCCCACCGCCTGCACCCAGATTGAATTCAGCTATGGTTTCACTGCTGTCACTCAGAAGAATGGTCTCATTCAGGCCACCTGCTCCCTTGCTGGACAGCTCACATCCCCCTCCTGCCTGGGCACAGAGGCCCAAGCCCCAGGCCACCCCACCCTCCAAAGCCCTGTTCCCCCAGGCAGAGCTATCCAGTGGCTTCACCCAGCAGAACCGAGGCTGAGGGCCAGGGACTGGCCCAGGAAGCCCCCAGCAGCCTCTTGGTAGGAGCTATGCCCCTGGGTCCGGAAAGGAAAGGAGGCCTGGACTGTTCCTATCAGGGACATAATCCCACATTCCTCAGAGGGCAGCCCCCTCCCCTGTGCTGTGGTGGGCGTGGACCTGGAGGTCCCGGAGGGCACAGTCCAGATGCAAGGTGGCAGGAGAGGGGCAGGCAGGGTCTGGAAGGGCCAGCGAGGGGTCTCCAGCAGGTCATGTCATGGTGGTGGGGGACCTACGATGTGGGCTCAGAGGGCGATGGAGGTGAGGTGAAGGTGAGGACTGCGGACCTGGGGCTGGCTCCGAGTCAGGGGGCTGTGCCCAGAAGACTGCAGACGCAGGGCAGGGGGAGGATGAGGCCCTGCTGGGGACCTACTTAAGGAAGAGGCTGTGTGCAGGAGTGGGGTGGAGCCAGGCACCTGAGAAGATGGGGCTGGACAGGGCTTCCTGTGGTATCCCGGGCCTTCCAGCCTGGACACGGGAGGCACAGAAACCAGGGTGGGCTTGGGCCATACAGCAGCCTAGAGATGCCTGCCCAACAAAGGTGCCCAGTGTGGCTGGGAGATGGGGCTGCTCCCAGGGGTTTCTTCTTAGGTCCTCCTCCTCACATGGTCCTCCTCTTCCTCAGGTTCTCCTCCGCAGGGTCCTCCTCCTCCCCAGGGTCCTCCTCTTCCCCAGATCCTCCTCCCTAGGTCCTCCTTCACACATCCTCCTCCTCCCCAGGGTCCTCCTCTTTCCCAGATCCTCTTCCTCCCCAGGGTCCTCCTCCTCCCCAGGTCCTCCTCCCAGGTTCTCCTCCTCCCCAGGGTTCCCTCCTCACAGGTCCTCCTCCTCCCCAGGGTCCTCCTCCTTCCCTGGTCCTCCTTCTCCCCAGGGTCCTCCTCCTCCCCAGGGTCCTCCTCTTCCCCGGGTCCTCCTCCTACCCAGGGTCCTCCTCTTCCCCAGGGTCCTCCTCCTCCCCAGAGTCCTCCTCCTCACAGGTCCTCCTCCTCCCCAGGGTCCTCCTCCTCCCCAGGGTCCTCCTCC